GTGCAGTGTTTGTTTATCATTTGAGTGCTATCTTTCTGGAAGAAACACGACTGGAGAGTAAAAATCAGTTTTTGTATAAAACTTATTGTGAAATTTGTTAGATTTTCATGGAATTTTCTGTAAAAGGGTAACTTACTACCATCATTACCATAACGGTATAAAACCTGCTACAAATTCGATTAATTCTTCGAGTAATGTCGCTCTCTTATGCAAGCCATTGGTCTAACCTCAAAAGTGCAATTTTATATCCATCGGTTGATATTTGTGTGAATTGGCGCCAAAAAACGGCGTGTTCCTCATTACCGTAACTATCATAACTATAACTCCCATTTTAAATGTTGGTGGTTACGGTAATTATGCCAAGGTTACCCTAGTTAATTTGAAGACTGAATACATTTAAGCCGCACAGTTAATTAAAAGACGAATAAGGAGGGATATTATATCCTACGTAGTGTAGTTAAACCCCTCAGATTTTTTCCCTTTTTTTTCAAGTTTCTCCTTTTTAAACGGTATTAAAATTGACCTAGTTTCTTAGAAGATTGAATTTTCACACAATAGGTTTTTGTATTTAAAAGTTACGGGACAAGTAGATGTATTTAACTTTAGATGTCAGATTTTTATTTTCTTTCCTAGATTTAGAAGAGGCGTTCCTCTTTAAAATGTATTTAAATGTTGGTACCTAGTGCTTTGTTCAATCACATTTTCTTTAAAATTTGTTTGCTTATTTATTTTTGTCCGTAATGCAAAATGTTACCAAAATTGTTTTCAAGGGTATTAAGTCAATATGTTGCAATACAAAATAGGCAGCATTATTTGAAATGCGTTTTGTTTTCTAGTTCAATTAAGTTTCATCATTAAAAAAATAAGAAAATGTTGTCTTTTATAATATTTTAATTTTAAATGCCTATTTAAATACTTTTAAAATAACTTGTTTACTGCTTGCATTTTGATCTTTAGATAGCCAGTTCTTAATTTTTTACAGGAATTTACTTTGTAGTAAAACATATTTCACTTATTGATACATTAGACAATTTATTTCATTATTAAGTAAGCACTCACTGTAAATTTATTGGAAATGGTCATTACTGTAACTTTTGCGTCATTACCGTAACCTTCTCGTCATTACCGTAACCCACTATTTTTCCTTGTTTACTTAAAATGACCTGGAAATTGTTGAAATTTTGTAACATGGATAATTCATGATGCACACTTGACTGAAAAGCAATCAAAGGCCGAGACTTTTCTTTACTAGGGATGTAAGACCAAAATAAAAGCGATTGCTTGGTTAATTTTCCCGTTAGGTTTAGCTTATAATTGTTCAAAATAACTATTTTTTTACATTTGAGATTATTTTTATTTTCATATAATAGATAGAAATACACATATTTATTGATTAAAAACCAGAAAGTTACTGAAGGACTATTTTCCTTGTCCGGACAGAGAAAAATCTACGTAAAATATTGAGGTTAAGGTAATAACGGGAGTCGGTGCAGCACACTTTTAATTAACTGAAAAAATAAATTTTAGGGGAATATTTTTCGACACCACTACTTAAACCTGATTAGATGAGTCCTAAGGGTCACAGAAGGTATCACATTCAAGCTTTTCAACGACTTTTAATTTTTGACATTTACAAAAAAATACTGTCTGAAAAATGAACTGATGGCGAAGATTTTAAGAAAAATTCTAAGAAATTAAGAGACAGTCAAATAAGTTCAGAGCGTTACACCTATGAAAATCGTAAACATTCGAATCAGCTGATTGTGGCTACGTGCACTGGTGAATTCACCGATACATTGATATCATGTTCGCTGGAACTTTCCTGATTCATTAATAGGTCGCAGCACCTCCTGATGAGCGGGGTTGTTGCTATTTCTACTTCCGTTTGAATATTAAGTAAGTTTTCATTTCTCATTGTGGTCAATGTTATTTCTAATTTTTCTAAAACTTTCAGTTGGTTAGGATCTCTATTTTTGTGCAGAATTTTCGTCTCATTGAAATTAATTTTGTGGCCCGTATTTTTCATATGTTTGAATACATTGGATGTTTGTTGCTTAGCATGCTCTTTGACTCTAACTTTGATAGATTGCTCCCTTTTTCCTATATATCTACTATTGCATGTTTGACACTATTTGGTAGATACCTGAACAATTATCATCCGATTTTTTCTAATGATTTTTATTTTTGCTTTTACTGGCCAGTTTTTTAATTTTATGAATCACGATGCTGTTAGTACTGTGCTGCTAGTTTGTGGTCATGTTTTCTAAAAATTGTATCCAAAATATTGCTGGACTCATTACAGAAATGCATTTTTCATAGGGATTTTTCATGCATTTCTTAATAATTTTATTGATTAGTTCAGTAAAATCCTTTAGAGGGTATTTTTTGTGTTGTAATGTGTTACTGCCAATCATGAAATTTTGAAATTTTTTATCTATTTCTACTTCACTCAAGATGGCAACACTATTACTCTTATCGACCGGAATAATATCTATGTTATTATCAGCAAGTTTTTGGGCTATAGTTTTATACATTTTGAAATGCATTTGTGCTCTTCATTTTTTTTAAACATTTTTTTGTATTCTATGGTTACATTGGATTATTTTCTCTGAGTCCTTAATAACACTACTTCTAACTCCATTTTGCTTGCCTATATCTGCAGTGCTGATTACTTTTTCACAAGTCATTAAGATATCTGCACTATTTGTCTTATTCATGAGGTTCATTTTTATGATATTGTTTAATACATTTGTTTCTTCTTTGTTGAATTTCACATTGGATAAATTGTAGGATCTAGGTGCAAATACATGGTTATGTTTTTTCTTAGCAAAATTTTGGTGCCGTGTTTTGATATGATTGTAGATCTTTTTATTTATGATTGTACGTTTATTATTAATAATGGGAGACAAATTATCTTGAGAGAATCTAAAAATACGTTCTTGGGTGTTGTTGTCCAGCTCATCATCGTTGAATAAAATTTGCTTAGCTTTCTTGATTTCACGTATGTGGTGATTGAGTTTGAAAAACAGATGGTCCAGTTCGGCTGATATCCAGTATCTCTTGGCAAGTTTGATCGTTTGTGCTGCTGCCTTTGTCTTGTTATTCGTAAATAAGTCTACATACCTTGGAATTACTTTGTTTTTTCGGCACTGTTTATTTATGTAGATATTCAGCTTCGTTTTCTCCAACTTGGTGACATGTTTATAGTGCAAGAATGCGGCATTAGCTTGGTGAGCTTTGTTTGTATGTGAGTAAGAGCCAAGGTGTTGTGTTTAATATTTATTAATCACTGAGGTACCTTTCGGCTTACACCATCTTCATTTCCTGTTCAGGCATCTTCAGAGCGTCAGTAACTATGGACATTTACTACCACTCTTAAGATGCCTGTAAAGGCGAAATGCATTAGAAACTGATACACAACGAAGTAAGCACCGTAGCACCATTGGTATACCATCACATTATTAGATTTAGATTATCTTCATTAATTTAGAGGATATGACAAATATGAACTTACTTTACGAATACCCCTCATATTGTGATCTTTTGCAAATTATTTATTCTTTAAATTATTGAAGGTAATTTTCTTTACAGTAAGAAGGCTTCTGGATTCGAACTATCCAATCCACTGTGAGAGGAGGTCGATTTCGGGGACTTAGAAACGTTTTTTGAATCGTCGTTATCCACTCATTTTACTCGTGTTTTTATTTTTCATGTTTTTGGGAAAAATTTGGGGGCAAAATTTTAGATAGGACGTCCAAAGTATTGACTGCAACAGGGATGAGGTTTGGGGGATAAGAGAAAGTTCTCAAATTCTACTTTCTGTTGATGGAGTAGATTTAAGAACTATCTGTCAACCCGAACCACTTGTTTTTCCCGGATTCATCGCTTCATTTGGCCTCTGTCTTGTTGAGTTAACTGCACCCATCGAGTTAGTAATGGCATAATTTTCATGGTACTTAAATGTATAGAGTACAGACGAATCATAATGACCGCTTCTGAACAAAATAAAAATCCAGTGCTTGAGGTTGCAACGCAATTCGGATCATTTTGACAAATTTTAAATCGTAAAGCTGGAAACTTTGCAATTCTAAATTGTTCAAATATGCCTTTTCTAATCGAAAACTCTCAGATTGCACAATTCTAGTAAAATTTTGGAGGAAATCACACCTCGAAACCTTCATTTTATCATCAAATTCAATATTTTGGAGTCTGCAACTTGGCAACGTTGCCACAGGGAGCAACAAATTTTTTCACGGCAAGGATGAGGGAGAAGAGGTTTTACCCCTGAAAAACCACCAAAATTCAATTCTTTTTCGAAAAGCTCAAACACTCTACTCCTAAATTGGCCGAGTATCCTACTACAACCTACGATTTGAATGTTTGATTTTGAATGGAAATCGCACTTCGAAACCTTCATTTTATCATCAAATCCGATATTTTGGAGTCCGCAACTTGGCAACGCTGCCGCGGGGGGCAATAAATTTTGTACGGGCATGAAAATTTCAGGAAAGTCACATCTTATACCAGAAGAAAACATACTAAAAATTCAGATCGGCCAAGGCAAGGATGAGGGAGAGGGGGTTTAACTTGTAGCCTCTAGGCCAATGTTGTTATTTTACCCCTAAAAAACCACAAAAATGCGATTATTTTTCCGAGAACTCCGATGACCTTCTTCGAAATTGCCCAAAACCCCATCCTCCAACTTGGATTTTTGATGTACATTCAAAGTTCTTAGTAAGTCACTTCAGGCGCACCGTGCTAGATGAACCTATAATTAACCATGCATAGCAAAGTGAGTAAAAAGATGGCCCATGGTTTTGATATACTTGGATTCGAATGATATGGGATTATTAACAGATTAATGAGTTCTAGTTTAAAATGAAATGTGACGTGGGACGATGCCTCTGGAAATGATAGTATCTGTTCAACACAAGAAAATAATATACTTATTTAAAAACAAACATGAAATGCTATATTAGGCAATGAATTCGGTTGAGTACCTTTCAGAGTGATGAAATCATCCTCATTTAGTCCTCCTTTTATGTTTTTACCTAGGATGGCTTTGACATCATTTAATGCTTCTGGTCTTAAAGGTGATTCAAAACATCGGCATTGAAACACATTCAATTCATGGTCATCTAAAACACCATTATTGTCCAAATCACAGATCTGAAAGTTTCACAAATGCCAAAATTAGAAAAAAAAAAAAAAAAAAATGCCTTCAACATACTGGAGTGTCACAAAAACATAAAAAATATATATCTTACACATAGTAACCATGATTCCTGCGCCTTTCACTCTATTGATAAAGTTGATAAATAAACACGGAAAAAACTTATCTTGGTTTGCAATGTTGCAGACTTTTAGTTATGCTCAATTCCATGAGCAAAGAACGAGGCAACAAGTATACTTGAAAATGTGCTTGATTTTTCTTCACTATTTGGAAAATAATTTTGTAAAATTTGAAAAAATGAAACAGGAGCAGAAAATAAGGGTGCAAAAACTTCTAGACCATGCGACTTCCAGGTCATAGTTGGTCGTGTGCATTGACAGCAAGGCCCTGATAATAGGTTCTAAAAATACGAAGACCGTCTATGAGGTCTTAGGAATTAAAAGGCAAGCTATCATTAGGGTGAATAAAACAAGTGTTTTGTGAAATCATGGAAATTTTTAAAGTAAAGAGCAAAAGGAAAAAAGGTTTAATCTCTTTGAGAATTTTAAGAAAAAAAGGAGTTTTTTACAAGGAGTTCTATGCTGCTAATACAGTACAAAAACTAGGTGATAGGAAGCTCAAAGAGTGTGGTTGCATGGTTATCCCTGCATCCTTGAATATGACTGGGGAGCTGGAGAAAAGGCCGTTTTTTCCAGTTTCTCGAGTTTGAGACCGTTTTTCGTGTAGACAGTCCAAGCTGAGAGAGAGAGTGTCAAGTATCGAGTCCTATCGAACTTTTCACGATCTTTCTGAATTTGTTATTATTTTTGTTGTATTACAAACAAAAAATGCTCCCCAAGCCCCCCCAAAAAACCCCACCCCCCCCAAAAAACCCCAAAACCCCCCTAAAATCGTGAAAAATTCTCTGAATGGCCCACTTAACATGATTTTTCACCATTTTCACTCGTTCCAATCGAAAGTACGCAAAAAATTACTCGGGTACAGGTATCCCATGAATGATTGGCGAATCTTCCCGGAGAGTTAGAGAATTTTCATCTTTTATTCAAGGATGGTTCCATTCAACAAAAGTCTATTTTCAACTATGAGCACAATTTTTCCACACCGTAATTTTTGGCGTGTTTCATGTACTGGTAGGTAACTTTAATCTGTTAAATTTTGGTGATGTGGCAAAATTGTGCTGGGTGTAAATGAAGACTAATAATCGTGGAAAATGCAGTTTTTTCGGTTTTCTCAAGTTTAGAGCTGTTTTTCCTGTTGACAGTTTAAGCTGAGAAAAAGTGTAACCAATGATTTCAAACGGATTTTTTACGCTCTTCTTGAATCTGCAATCGTTTTTCTTGTATAATTATCCGTTTTCTAGTTACAGGTGAAAAGTTGCCAAAAAACCCCAAAAATCGTTGAAAATGTCTAGAATAACCCACTAAAAGTGGGTTTAGACAATTTTCGCCTGTTCCATTGAAGAGTGCGCAAAAAAATTACGGTTTTGAAGCTCCCGTATTCATAAAACAAAGCTTTCTTGGGCTCGTCATAAAATTAAAACCATTTTTCAGCCGAAAAATTGAGTCGGCTGTTTTGGCAGGAAAACGATGCACAATCGCAAAAACATTTTGCGCCAGAATGCACCTACCCTAGGGTACTTAAAATATGGGTTCAGATGATTTTTTGAAGTGGGGCCAAAGTCGGTCCTTATCGATACCCCTCCTTTGTAAGTGACGACGAGCATAAATGGAAAAATACCAAAAGTCAGGGGTGCCTCACTGCCCTGCTAAATGACGGTCAGATACTTAAATCATTCTTTTTGTGACAATATGAATAGGAAACATTTCCTCTGAAAATTTGAAGTTTGTGAGGTTGCCCGTCTTGAGGGACTGTATTCTCAATTCAAGAGTCTCACATTTTAATTACCGTTCATGAAATTTTGAAAATAGCTCAACTTCTTGGGATAGTTTTGTGTAAAAATATGATAGTGCGAAAATGAAGGATTGCTCACCTTGAATATTCTAGCTAGAGCCTCCTTGCATTCATCTGTTAACTGAAAGAGAATTAAAATTTAAAAAAAAAATATTGAAATATATCAACAAAATGAATAAAAATCTCGATCTCCTTTAAATAGTATGTGTTTACTAGCCTTTCTGGATGCGCGAAAGGCGACCGTCACGGCTAGCCAAGGGTCTGTGCCCCCTGGACCCCCGGTCACGCGCTACACAGGTGACATTCGGCTCCCTCCGGGAGCCATTTTTCTGAGTATGTATTTGGACATTTGATCACTAAGATGTCTACATTTTGGCGACTCTCAAGACAAAAATGATTTTGTCACAGAACCTTGTTACTGGAGCATGCCATCATTTGCACATTAATAAATATGTGGAAATGAAGCAATGATGGGGATCGATAATTTCTTCGAAGACGCATTTGAGTGGGACGTCAGTCCCATCAGGTGGAGGAAAGTGACAATTCGTGATTTCCATCTGCGATTCCTCGCTGAAGTAGCAAAAGTTCATTTTTACTTCCTGAGAAGATTATCAGTGGCGAAGGGGTCTAAAAACTGCTCAATGATAGTACAGTTCAAGTTCCGAATCACTATAAGCCCACTCGTGTTATTTTCTTATACTTTCATTGCATTTTGTTTCTGATGTTTTTGTTTAATTCTCTCTGATTGCATGAGTAATTACGTCCTCATTTCATTTCCTTTTCCTTTCGTTTTTTCCTTTTTTGTAGCTTCTGTGTCCATTTTACAATTCTTTTTTTAAAATAGCTTTCCCTAGAATACATTTGATGCTTCAAACGGAACACACACTCTGCTGTTGCCAGGTAAGTTGCTTCTGCAGCACTTTTCCCGATTTAAACCCATGTAAAATATTCACATTTATCGCACAATCTGGCAACCCTATCAAGTAAGATAGAAAAAAGTGGAATCTACTAAATGGTGGAATCCTTCCACTCTTGTATGAATGATGATCGAGTGAAATTAATGAAATATAAATAATAGTGCGTGATAGCTGCATCCATCTATTGTACCATTTGCTTGAAAAAGAAGAAGAAATTAATTGGTGAGTGGAGGCTTTGTCGTAACGCTTCAGCATGGTGAACGCTCCAGCATTTGTTAATTAACTTTTTTCTTTTTTTTTTAAGAGGGTCATCCAAAATGTAAGGTACCCTACTTTGTGCCTTTCGAACAAAACGATATAAGCCAAATTTGTAAAAAAAGACAAGTCAAACATACTTAAGCTTTGAAAAAAGCACAAATTTTATAAAATCGGTCATGAGGTTCATGAGAAAACCCGATTTTACCGAGACAACCTCCTGTCACCACATGCCCACTCCTGAACTCTGGATGCGCGGAGAGTCGATTATTCCAAACTCTATTTATCACAGCAAAGCTTTACATTGAAAAGGAATTTAAAAGCTTTTATTGAGTAGACTATACACCTGCAGTTCATATAGAACACAAAAATCAAATTTTAATCGCCTTTGAACTAAAAATATATTACTGCAGTATTAGTTGATAAGACTGGAGAAACAAATAAACTTGGCCTCTACAAACAAAAACAAAAACAGATGAGGATAGAACTCATCGTAAAGCCAAATGAGCTTCCTTCACCAGTATGAATTGAAAATCATGTTAACGATGTATCACAGAAAACATTTAGGGGTGTAATCATCAAAAAATGAAAAAATGAAGCATGGGGGTTGGACCGCAGAGCTGCCAAGAGGAAAGCCCCCTGGTCGAAATAAGAAAAGTTACAAAAAAAACAACTTCCCAAAATCAAAAAATCCGTTATGCATTTACTAGCGAATCTTCCATAGAAAAAATTACATGATAATAAATAGAAAAATTAAACACTCACGTCTTGTTTCTCAGGCATATAAATGGGAGCCATTGGATGAAGTACTGCCTTCTGAGCATAATAAAACATTTCACTAATGTTGTGTAATGTTTTTGCTGAACACTAAACAAGAAAAAAGGAGTACGGTCACAAACATACAATCGTGATATTTACACACATATCTCAATTTTTTCCTCCACCTGGCTCTAAGGGATGGCGGATTTTCCTCTTGACGAATGATGAATGATTTCACAAAATAACTACGTAGCGATTTGGTGAACAGAAAAGAACCTACTAATAAGATGGCAGTGTTGGGGGAAGCTTTCTTGTTATGCGAGATTAGGGTGACTCCAAAATAAAAAGGACCCCGCACACCTCTTATGGGAAAGTCCACCACGATGGATCTTTAATTTTTTGGTTGCAATCGATTCTCCTCAAGATGCTGATCAAAAGTTATCATTGCGTCAACTTCCTACGATGCACCGTTTTTGCACAAAACGCCCGAAAAAATTCAATTATTCGGCGATGAATCAAAAAGAACAAAGCATTCAAGAATAGGCCTGATGTAAATAAGGAAAAACGTAGCGCGTATCTATCTTCTTATCTGTTCCTGCCGACTCAATGGCTACCTTTCTCCGGCTCTTGTCCGGTTGACGTTCACTGTATTTCTTCAACTTTTCTGTTCTTATGCTCCTTAAGAATCTGATTTGAATGGTCGAGCAAAACGGCGTGCAGAATCTGAGATAAGACTGCCGCTTGATGCTGGAGTTCCCCTGATTTCCTTGTTGACGCACAGCCGACCGTTCACTCGAGTGCTGAAATGAGGAATCTTTCCGACTCTTATCGCCGAATAATTGAGTGTTCTCGGACGTTTTTTGCGAAAACGGTCCATCATAGAAAGTTGGCGCAATGATAACTTTTGATTAGCATCTTGAGGAGAATCGATTGCAATAAAAAAATTAAAGATCCATCGCGGTGCACTTTCCTATAAGAGGTGTGCAGGGTCATTTGTCTCAGATTTCGGTTCCCAGTAGAAATTCTGGAGCTTTCGTGACAAGAATAGAGCTGAAAAAAATTTAGGGTCCATCCGTCAATTTTTGGAGGGACCTCAAACCCTCCCCCCCCCCCTTTAGAGCCAAAAACCAGGATTTTTCCTACTTTAACTTTTAAGCAATTTTAATGCACACTGTGCATTTTCAACATCGGCTCCCAATAGAAAATCTAAAAGCTAAAATACTAAAGTAGAGGTATATAAAATTTGGGAATGATAGGATTATTTTTAGGGGGTGGTCAGCTGGTTACTCCCCTTGCACGCCAAAAAAAACCTACGGTTCCGCGCTTTTTTCATCGGATTTAAGTCCGTCTCGAGCTTAAAAAAGTATTTGATGGTAAAAAGAGCATGAGCTAGTTGCAGAGGATGTGAACAAAGAAATGAAGCCACATTGTCATTGAAATCCGTTCCGATGGAGACGAAAAATCGAGGAATTCAATTAGTGCGCAAATATTGTGTTAGCAGAATCTTCAATCTGGAGGAGCCTCAAAGACAGTTACTTTCGGTTTTGTCGAAATTACAAAACTTCTCAACAGTATCAATAAAGAAATTGTCCGAGTTGTCAAAGTCGGAAAACCCCTACCTTAAAATAGTGATGACTTTACTTTCAGTGAATGCTGAAATTGTAAAATCTTGGTGTGGAAATAGTATCGATTAAGAGATCGTTCGTATTGTCAAAATTGGAAAAACTCTACCTTAAAATAGTAGGTATTGACTACAGTTTATCTGAACAGAATAAAAAGTACGCAGTATATCCAAGCATAAGGTAGTTAATTTCGGTTTTTATTGAAATCATAAAAATCTCAAGCTAAATGGTACTGTAAAGATAACGTTCCAGGTGTCCACAAGAGACAGAGTCATTCGCCACTTTTAAGAACTTTCTGAATGTACATCTTGTCTCAGACACTCATCCGCTCTATTCTGGTCGTGTCGAGATGGACACGTCCAATTGAAGGCGATGAGGTGCGATGGATTTAGATGGGTGACAATGCAAGAATTGCAAGATATGTGAAAATGAAACTATGTTTTGATGTAACTTTTCAGATTGTTTACTAGAGGGTCATTCCATGTCTAGGTAGTCCAGGGGGTATTTTTTTCCCTTCAAATGACCCAACAATATTTATATTTGGACTCCTTAAATACATCTAGTTTTCGGAAATATATGGGATTTACCTCAGTTTTGCTTTTTTTCTCGCAATTTTTAAGTGTTTTGTAACTCCGTCGCTTAGCCTCATCCCACTGTAAAATAGTGACAGTTTGGTAGCACTGTTTTCTGATTTCACCACCAAATCAAGTTTGAGTTTATGTTTACATTTGTCAAAAAACAGATAAAATGTGCTCCTGGAAAGTTTCACCTTTTAAAAGTAATTACTGTTTATCATATGTAACTTTTAAAACTTGGTGTATTGACGGTCACATCCGTAACACAAAACAGGGGTTGTTCAATGTAACTATTTTAATTCATGTCATTTTGAAATGACAATTTTAAAAGTTCAAAAAAAAGTTCATTCTTCTAGTGCAGATTATTTTTTAATTAAACCCCAAGAAAGTGTCCAAATTCTTGTTTAAAGTTAAATTGTTGTCACACCCAGAACAGTGAAATGACCCTAAAATATTTTGATGGCAGAAAAAAGACAACTCCTAAGTATAGCTCTTTTACGTAGCTGACTTCAAGGTAACAAAAATTAAGATGCATCATTTGGTCGTTTCACAAACGACAATTTATAGATGCGATCATGAACTACATGGAGTATATTAGAGATGAAAAGGTGGATAATTCTTACCTCAATAAAACTCTCAACCTCAGGGTAGGTGGACATAATATTTAGAGCAGCCTGAAACAGAACGAATGCATGATTGCGGCGGTTTAATTTCACATAAAAAGTCGGGAAATGAAAACTTTTTAAGAGTATAAGTAGAGAAAAAATTGAGAGTTTCTACTATTTGGAACGAAATAAAGAATTTTACTTTCAGGAGGAGAAAATGCAATGTTGACACAAATTAATGAAATTTGTTTTTAGAAAATACAAACAGTCCAGAATTAGGATGGTGAGCTCTCTAGATGTAGTAATTTTGAGAATGAAGAGAGAGGCAGCAAAATAAGAATGCTGGACACAGCATTTGATTACAGAGAGAGAGAGAGAAAAAAATTACATACGATTTTCAATCCCTTCTGGAAGCCTAATAAGGATGAAGAAACACCTACTTACATCTGTGGTTGAGTAATTTATGAGGTCCGCTTTGTTGCCGACAAGAACGATTGGCATTTTGACAAGAGGGAGAGTCCCTCTGATCAAGGGGATCCAGTAATTAGTGATGGCAGCAAGACTATCCTCATCGATAACAGAGTAAACTAAGCAGACTACATGTGCACGATGCAGCTCATCTTGAAGCTGGTCTTCAGAGAGTTCCAAAGCTGCACAACAAATGACAGTGAAAAATTATCAGTAAAAACAAAACAGACAATGTCTTTTTTCACAGACGCTATAGTTATAAGCTGGTTTAAAAAAAAAAAACCAAGTAACAGTGATTGGTAATACTAAGTCCTTTGAGAAAAAATGTTCATGCTGTCCACCCGAAACATTTCGGTCGTTAGGATTTAGGTATTGCATAGGTTAGGTTAAATTAGGTTAGAAGAAGGTAGGCTATTTTTGGCCAAAATATCGTTCCGTTACGTTAGTTTTAAAACAACATACAAATCCGATAGCCCCACAACTATTAGCTATGTTTATGCGAGCCTCTAAACCTAATTTCAATCGAAACCTGAGTTTGAAACCAAGGTTCAAATCACGGCATAAACAATAAGGAACTAACGAAATGTAGGTTTCCGAAATTTGTGTTTGAAACCTTATTTTACACTAAAGACTAGGTTATCGCACTCCGCATAAACAAACCAGAGGTTGAAATTAGTTGAAATTCGACTTCAAATGCGGTTTTCAGGTGCGCGATCGGCAATATGGCAGATTCCGGATTTATTATCATAACGTTCGTAAACAACTGGTGCTTATCCCACGATTTAGCTTTAATTTTGCCATTATTCAACATTTTTTACATTCATACTTTTACTTTAATTGTTGCTTAAGCACTTTTATGTGATTCCTTCAGTTATATGTGGCTTATTTATCCTTATTTAGCTAAACGTAGGACGTTATTTTCTAGTGAAGGTGTTTAGTGTCAGATGGAATCCAGGCTTATTACTGCTTTTTCAGATTATTCTTGCAACTCTAATCAACATTTTATAACTACAGAAGCAACGCAGGCAAAGAGCTTTACAGGCTACAATTGAGTAATAGCCTTACCTACCAGTTCATCATCTGCGGAGAACTTTTTTACTGTATCCACACGATTTGCCTAGGATTTCAAGATAAGGCACCCTGCTTCCCTTTAAGTAGTGCACCGAATATTTTCATTTCAATCTACCGATTAAATCTAAAATCTGATCCAATCAGAGCTGTGTAGCTCTTGAATTTGTGTGTTATCCATGTATCTATTTCCTGGTTGTCCTACTGGAAGTGTGAGACCAGCCACAACCGTGACCTGCTGACTTATTTCTTTGATCCAATCTCTTGTAAATGATGACCCAAATTCTGAGGCCATCATTTATTGAAACTAGTTCAAAGTTTTTGCTCCAAAGTATCGTCAATCTTTCATACTGAGGCAGAAGGAAAGAGATTTTTTGGTGAGTGCTCTGTTATCCAAGATTTGCAATTTGAGATAAGAATACGGTTTTTATTGAGGCGTGTAACAATTTTTGGTCGTTGAATCACTTGTCATAATTGAGCCTTGGCGTTAGAGATGCATCAACTGTGGGAAGTGGCTCTGCCTGTGCAAAAATATCTTGTGACAGCAGTGAATGTTAGTAAATGCGCTTTACAGATAGACTGAAAGCTCCATATTCCAATCCACCCGAATAATTAAATTCCAAAGCATTTTTGAATTGAGTTCATATCGAATCTCAATGGGAGAACAATATACAGTGTAAGCTAAAGAATATCAGTGGTAAGGTTGGGTTTGTGTCTTAGGTTAATGAAATGCAATGGCAGGTTCTGAAATCTTGTCTGTCAGTTGCTCTTTACATGAGTCACCATTGAAAATCAAGTTGAAGAAAAAAAACACATAGGTAGGCAAACAGTAGTGGGTAGCTTGCCTATTTTCTTCCTGTCTTGCTCATGGACTCGGAGAGCAGTCGGAAAGAGGGGTGAGAAACAGGATTTCAGCGTGTGTCTCTGGGAATGTGGAAACTTAAAATTTGTGAAGCGTCATCAGTTTGTTGAGATTGTCACCGACTGTTGCCTCAAGAGGATTTAGACGCTTCTGCTTCAGCGATAGGTACATTGTTGACCTATCAATATCCGCTTATTTTGATCATATTTTGAAGGAGCAATTCCCATAAGTATTCCCGATTAGTTATTTGTTTCACTACAAAAATGGCAGACATAGGTACAATCTTTACGACACCAGGGAGTAAAGGTGCAGTGCTTAGTAGATTAGCACTCCTACACTTTCAATGCCTATATCTGCCTATTGTAAGATCATTAGAAGCTCAATAAACAACATGATGAATTTCTGCGTCTGCCACAATTATTTTTAACATCACTAAAATTATATATGATGGCAACTTTTCTGAGCTCAGAATATAAGCTCGAGCATTATTTAAAGGGTTGTTGAGATTACTTAGGTATTCATTCAATTTTTAAATATGAACGTAAAATGATTAAAAATCCACTGTCATTTTTCCAACTGTTGCTCAGAAAGTCAGTAAAGGCTTTTCTAGTGAAGATGAAGCCTCCCCTTATATATTGCGGAAAAATTGTGGAACATACACGGGATAAAAGAGTAATAATAATTTTATTGAATCAATTCATAGTGAAAAAATGAAGTGTAGCTTGTGAAAATGGCGCCAACGCATGAAATTCAAGTTCAATCGAAAATATGCGCATAAACAGCGCCAGAATCGGAAAGTTTGATTTCCCGCGAAAGTCGGGTTACAGCGCCCGCATAAACCCGACGGCGAAAACTTGCATTACAAACTCGGGTTTCGTGAAACCTCGGTTTCGAGCCTCGCATAGACGTAGCTATTGTCATATAGGACTGTAGGTATTTAAGTTTGTTTCTACAAACACGGAGTCTCAAAATTCTGTAACCCCCCCCCCTTCTAAAATGTCCTAATTGAGCTATATTGAGACGAAACTTGGGGGATGTTTCTGGGTCAAAGAGAACTACTTCTTGGCATATACAAAAATTTTTGAGGGCAGCCCCCAGCTTTTTTTTTTTTTCAAACGACAGCTGTTCACGCCGTGAACCACGCGCCGTCCAGCCAGCGCCGATGCCCCCGCCGGCCGGCAACGCGCCGCGGTCGCTCTCTTCCCCGCGCTTCCCCTCCTCGCGGCCGCGCTCCCCCGTGACCCGCGACGCCGCCGCTATACGCTAGATAGCGTTGACGCACCCAGCTTTAGACGTTCCGCTGCTATTTCCCGTCGTCTGATTTAGAGGACCTCCCAACGACGTGGCCCATGAAATTTATGATCTACCGTACACCTCACACTGAGGCCTTCTGCTCTCGGCAAGTGTACCCCCGCAAGATGATTCCCTTTCGGCGAATTTCCACCTTATAAATTCCAGGTTCACTCAAATTAATAACCGGACATGACCATCGAGCTAGACGCGGATTCCGCATCTTGGCCCAAGACATGTAAGGCGCTTAGCCATAGAATAATAAGGCTACGCCTAGAGAAAGGACACTCTCGCAGATTTCGTGACGAAGAAGAAGAACAGGGACCTGGAGCTGGCGGGTATTGTTTACATTCGGAAATGAAAATGGCGGCGGTTGCTAACTGTAACACTCTAACTGTAGCTGATCACATGTGATTTTATCAGTCATCTGGCCAGCATGAGCACGACGAGGCTGTGGAAATCGTTTTCGTTACATTAATTTTGATACTTAAATTATTTTACTCTGTGGCAGTGACTTTTACACTTACAAAACATTAGACTCTTCTTTGGCACCACTGATTAAAGGCAACCCTGCAATTACCTGGGCCCTACTATTACATTTGATAACCTTGCAAAGAGCTGGCGGGCTCAGAAAAGTATAGACGCTATTAGTGGCGACGTCATCATAGGGATTCTCCATTATATAGAATTGGATCCAAACAATAACATTGGCATAACCTCTTTCAATGCTACCAATGCGAAAAAATCGATATATATCGCTTTTCTGTGACGTTGCACTAATAGCGTCTATAGGGCAACGGGACCTAACCAAACCTGGACACAGCAGGCGAGAGTCACAACGGTCGCTTACGCGAGTGTCCCTTCTATTGGCGTTAGCTTTATTATCCTATGGCTTAGCTTATTAGCTATACAGCGCAAGGCTCCCGTCACAGAATATACAGGCTTCACCAACAGAAGGCTCACTATGGAACGCCGTTAGTGTCAAAACCCTTTTCTTGCGCGCGCGGAATTTTTTCTGGCGCGCGGAATATTTTTCCGGCGCGCGGAAAGAAAAAACCCGTTTTCGATGAAAATCTCTGAATTTCCGGATTCCGCGCCGGTTTTCGATATATTTGCGCCGTTTGTGTCAAAACTATTTTTTCCGGCGCGGCGCTCTAAATCTGTTCCGCGCGCAGAATTTTCGATACATCGATTCCTGCTCGCCGATTGTGTCAAAACTGTTTTTTCCGGCGCTGCACCAGAAAATAATTCCGCGCGCCACTTTTTCGATATATCGATTTTTCTGCGCGCGGAGAATATTATTATCTCTCTTTTGAACGATTTCCATTAAACCGTTGGAGGGAAAAAAGTGCAGTGTTGCCGATAATTTAAATTTAATTTAAAACCATAAGTTATCCTTTCCCGCCACTTTTGGCTTTAGGCTTTACTTGTTCTGTAACTACTGTAACCGCCCGGCTTGGCTCCTAAATTTAAATTATCGGCAACACCGCACTTTTTCCCCTCCAACGGTTTAATGGAAATCGTTCAAAAGAGAGATAATATTCTCCGCGCGCAGAAAAATCGATAAATCGAAAAAGTGACGCGCGGAATTATTTTCTGGTGCAGCGCCGGAAAAAACAGTTTTGACACGATCGGCGAGCAGGAATCGATATATCGAAAATTCTGCGCGCGGAACAGATTTGGAGCGCCGCGCCGGAAAAAATAGTTTTGACACAAACGGCGAGCAGGAATCGATATATCGAAAATTCCGCGCGCGGAACAGATTTGAAGCGGCGCGCCGACAAAAATAGTTTTGACACAAACGACGCAAATATATCGAAAACCGGCGCGGAATCCGGAAATTCAGAGATTTTCATCGAAAACGGGTTTTTTTTTTCCGCGCGCCGAAAAAAAATTCCGCGCGCGCAAGAAAAGGGTTTTGACACTAACGGCGTTCCATAGGCTCACTCCCAGCGTATCTCGGTCGAAGAAGAAGAACACACCCAGAAAGTAATGTTTACATTGAGAGCCTAACCTAATTCTGCTGACTTTGTCCTCCCTCGTGCGTGCTAGGAGAATGAACATGAGGATTTTTGAAAATGACGAACGAACAGTTTAATTATTAACGCGAAACTTTTCTTTTGTTGTATGATCTTGATAATTTCTACTTTAAAGTTGCAGTTATGTTTTCTTCATCTGTTGTCTTGGTGGTTAAGTTGGTTATCCTAAAATGTGAAGTGATGTAGTTCGTTTTTAGGCCAGTATCTCTTGCAACGAGGAGAAGCCCTAAGGTATGTGTTACCCAAATTTGATTACCATGTTATTATTTTTCCTCAAACTTGGTTCCTGAAAAACCTTACGCTATTGTCAGTGGATGAATACACTCCCAAACGGGTTTTTTAACCTTAAAATGATTCGTCAAGCTAAAGTTACGTGCTCGAACTGGCATGCGTTATATTGCATCGATCAGGTTAAAAATCTCGGAAGATTTGAAATTTTTAGCACAAAAAAGGACGTAAGCCTCTGTGCGTGAGCCTATAGAATCATTCTAAACCCAAAAATCGACAAAATTCAGAGAAATGATAGCAGGATAGAGTTTGGAAAAAAACATTGCATTTGACACAGAAATCGGTAGCTGAATTGAATGCGAGGTTTTTTTTTGAACACTATTCTGCCTTCATTTCTCTGAATTTTGCCAATTTTTAGGTTTAGCATGATTCATTAGGCTAATGTGCAGGGGCTTTCGTCCTTTTTTTGGCTAAAAATTCCAAATCTGCTGAGACTTTTGACCTAATCAATGTGATATATCGCATGCCAGTCCGACCATGCCACTTGAGCTTGACGAATCACCTTAATGATACATTACTTAACCAGCTACTGTTAAACAACTAATTTATCTGATGAAAGGATGCTCCTGGCAATAATAGTTTTGTGCATTGCTGATAAGTAGCTATGCTGCTTCATTATAAAGCCAATCCCCTTCAATCTTTTGGATCTACAATATTTTAAGGTGACCCTCCCAAGTAGACTGACAGATTTAAGGTCAATCTTTCCCAAGTTTGTCAGTATTTGTGGCTAGTAATCTTTTCAACAAGGAAATAATATGAATGAAATGCATTAATGAAGCATCCAGCCCTCATCTGACTGATAAAGATTCTGGCAATTTAACCTGGGAAATGTCAATCACTCTCAACTTTTCCAGATGTAATCACCTCTCTCTAGCGAATTAAGGGTTCATTATGAAGGGACCAGTGTATCACCGCGTGGCTTGCAGAAGCCCTGTAGGTACTTATTTTTCTCTGGTGGTTGAAAGTCACCACTGATGCCTCAAAGTTGTTCCTTATCAGTCTTTATGATCGCATCCTACTATGCAACTGGGATTAATAATGTAGATGAAACTTTAAGTTCAGAATAGGAATCATGTCAAAGGAGATACTAATTTGTACCTAATTAATGTTTTCAGATGGCTACAAAGAGGCAGGCAGCACTAAGTCAACTTGCTAGAATGTAAAGTAATATCCCTATCTACTAGCAGCTCTCTTGGAGAGTGAAGACTTACGGTAAGTGTCTCACAGTTTGTATGCAACATTTTCTGCAGTACACAACAAGAAAATAGAATATTTTGGTCCTTAATCTTGGCAGATAAATTCAACGAAGTACAAGCAACTTCAATGAAACTTGTACTTACATTTAAGAAGCAGTCATTCTGCCTACTTTAAACGTTAATTATTGGGAGCTTGGTGGATTTGTAATCTCATGTGGAAAGCCCTGGACACATAATTGCATCCAAGGCTTGTCCTTCAGATTAATAATTCTACATTTTTTGACACTGTTTTACATGGACTCAATGCCCAACACTGTAAGTATCCTAATCAGATTAGGTGGAAAGAGATTCTGCACCACTGTCACTGAACTACATTGATCACCATCATTACTTACTGCTCTCTAGGCTTCCTTCAATATTTTTGAAACCTACTACAATTGAGGTACAGCATCAATTCAGGGTTTTTTGAAGCAACCAACCCATTTTTTGTTGCAAGTTACTGCAAAATTGCTCTTCACTAATGTGACAGTCTTTTGTGTACATAAACCATGACGCAAATTGAAACACAAGTTCACCAACTGTATACCCTCAAGTTTCAGGAAGTAGCAAAAGAAGTTTTATAATTATATTGCAGTATCCTATGATGTGAAACGTATTGCTCATTGTGCATTTGTTAAATTTCCTCTTCTAATACTAATGTTTACTCGAATTTTCCTCACAGATGGCTGAACAGATTCAGTGTGCGCAAAAGAAAAGAGGTGGTAGATGGTGCTCTATCCAGGGTTGCTTAAGTGACTCAGTGAAGGATCCTGACCTACAATTTTTTAGGTTTCCGAAGGATTTGTTGCATTTATCTTTGTGATTTATTCTGAAACTCTACCTGACAGGTTAATTTTCTTTAATTTGTATGTAAATTTTGTATTTTTGCCCTTGCAATGTCATACTTAGCTACTGAAATTCTGAAAATACTCAGGATTCCATTTTTCTCGATAAGTAACATTTATCCATGGTTCAAATATGATGGTTCATGTAGTATTAAATGTAAAGTTTCCTAAGCTCAGATGGATAGTTTATTCAGCAGGGTTACAATTTATTGTCAGTAGAAGAGCCATTGAAGATACTGCAGCGAACTTTAGATAGTACTGGTAGTTCTGTTTTTTTAGTCAAGAAAAAGTTAGTTCCGTGCACAACTCTATCCCCTGGTTACTTGCTGTTCGTCTGAGCGATTAAAGTAGATTCCTCCTTGTGAAGTATTGTTCTCTCTCTCCATCATCTATATTATTTCATTAATTACTGTAAATGCAAGGGTATTGATTGACATGGCATCCTTCAATTTTGTTATGATTAATTTCCTTACCCCTTGTTTCTTTTTTTGTTTTGTTTTGTAGTACTAATTTGTTTCTTGTATGATAATTTTATTGTGCTTAGTTATCAATATCGTTAAATTACCTCCTTGAAGAATGTTGTTTGGCATTTAATTCTTGTTCTGTTGAAGGGACTGTTTCTTCTTGTTGATTGTTCATAATATGTCTATGTGAATATTTGCCAACAATAAATATAAAACACTAGGTAGCGAAGTCAGTGGCATAGCACGGTGAGTCCAGGGGGCCTAGATTGTTCAAGAAGAAAATTATTCTTAAAGGTTCTCAGGATTTGCTTACCTATGAACACTCCAAATTAGTAAATTTTGGACCTCATACCCCTTCATGCAAAATTTCTCAATACGCTGGTGAGAAGAGCTTTGTATCAATCAAAGAATCTCTTTTGCAATTAATTTGGGTTCCTCATCTGTATAGGTATACGCCTTGTTTTCTCTGCCTTCTTTTACATGTTCACCTGTCAAGTGCGAAATATGCGCTGCTTGTTTTTAAGTTTCCTCCATAAGTCAAGGTATTATGTTCAGCAATATTAAACTCACCTGCTTGGTGCCTTTAATTCCACAAGTAACAGGTTATCCGTTCATTTTCTGATTAATTATTTATTATCATTAGCAACATACCATTTCTCCGCTTAGTAGAATGACAAAACATTTGAAATTTAATTTTGATACGGAGACTGCTGATTCTTGTTACCTACTTGTGTTCAGATTATTCAGTCAAATGTTTGTACATTTTCTTCCATTCAGAATTTAATTACTTTCTATTAAAAGCAATGCCTTTTGAGTATCATTTATTTACGCCACTCTCTTAAGTACTTCTTTTTCCTAAACATCAACTTTACTCCTTCAATTCTAAACGGCAAGTATGTACTTAGAAATATCAGATCCCGAGGAGAATTCAATAATAGTACCTACCTGTCTCTAAGGTTTCGAAGGTTTCAGATAGATCTACCTAATCTAATAGAGAGAAAATTGAGAGTAAGCTAATTTTTGGTGGAGTATTCTAACTCTCGTTATGCCATCAAGCACTGTTTGCTTCTAAAATCAGGTGGCTACCGATACTCTTGAAACGTTGATGGGTGAAATGCACAAATTTAACAATTTGGGGGCTTTTTTAGTTTCCTTTGGTACCTTCTACTTTGATTTTGGTAAAATAAGCATCAGTGTTTATTCAAATTTGTTATGAATAGTCATGAAGATTAAACATAGTGCTTTGTAACAACGTCCAGGTAACAATTTTCGAGTTAAAAAGATACGTGAAGATAGGAAATATGAAATAATTTGAAATCTGGTACATGCTTTAAATTTATTAAGTCATCATTTCATCTGATCATTTCACAATCAGCCCATATTAATGAACACACGTTGAATCTTTTTCATGGATTAATTTTAATGAGAGTAAAATCAATTGATTCATTAAAATTATTATCGTTGCGTATAATTAAAAAGATAAGTGAAGAAAGGAAATATGAAATAATTTGAAATCTGGTACATGCTTTAAATTTATTAAGTCATCATTTCACAATCAGCCCATATTAATGAACACACGTTGAATCTTTTACATGGATTAATTTTAATGAGAGTAAAATCAATTGATTCATTAAAATTATTATTGTTGCGTATAATTAAACTCGACAAAACCCGATTCGATTTCCCATTTGAGAGGCTTCAATTCAAATAAACCGCCGTTCACTTTATTGTAATTGTTGGCAATCTTGCACTCATTTGACAACAATGCAGGCAGCCGGAAAGTACAAACAGTGATACATTGGAGTATACGGGAGTGAACCTTCTGTTGGTGAAGCCTACATATTCTGTGCTCCCGTTTGCATCCGGCTACATCACCGTCCAGCCGTACAGGTACTCTATCCAACCGTAGAGCTGTTGACTGCACAGAGGCTCCCGTGCTCGGCAGCTTCTCAGCACTGCACGGAGCAAACCCGCATTCGCTTCGTAGCGATAGCCGCCGTAGCGATCCGCTTTTAGGCAAGCCCTGGGGGTTGTCCCTTGGGGATCTTCACTGCGCTTCGAGCGCAAACCCTGAAGACGCGGCGCCCACTGTCACGGATTGCCTACCCGCCAGGCAACCATCGCTTGGTCCGGCTGGTTGCCTCATCTCAGGCGCCTAATCAGCACGCTCGAGCGCTCGGATGAGCTCCCTCCTCCGACCTCACAACCCGGATCTGCTCTCCGTCCAACGCGCTTAAATCCACGTGCCTGCGCGCACAACAGCCCTCCCCCACCTGTGATACCTCATTCGAAAAAGGATAAAAAATTAAACTTTTTCGCGCAATCCGTAAGTGGCCATCTTTATTTTTGCAAGATGGCGGGAAATTGGCATTTGAGCTATTTTAGAGGCCCGACTGGATAGGAAAGAATTGAAACAGAAGTTGAGCCGTGAGCAAGATGTTGCGTACGTTGGCGCAAGAGTGCGCGGCGAGCGGGATTTCCACACTTCTGCGCTGATTGGCCAGGCGAGAGTTGCGGACGGACGACGTATGAAAAACTGCCTACGTGGAGGTGGTCCGGCGGCAACATACCCGCCGCCAGTCTCTGAAAAACAATAGAGAATGGTAGTTGCGTGCGTTGCCAGCGAGCGCGCTGCGAGCGCTTCTGTTTCAATTACTTAGCATTGAGTCGGGCCTCTAACCGTCCATATCCTCTGGCTATTTGTCAAAAATGAATTTATTTTAAACTCAGCATCCCAGTATCCAGGCATGGCCTGATGAGGTATCCAGGGGTTTTTGAGACAAGGAAGACGAATCTGGTGAGCATTTTTTAAAATGACCAATCTTATGCTAAAATGCCAATTTCGCCATTTTTTTGCCGCAATTTTGAAGAGGCTTGAATGAATTTAATAAATATGACCAAATTTGTTTTTTCCATTGCCAAATAACCATGGATACTAAATTTAATGCAAATCCATTGGTAAACGTCACGAATGCCAACTGTCCGCCATTTTGGAAAAATTAGCTTTCTTGAAAAAATCTCACCAGATTTGTTTTCCTCGTCTCAAAAAACCCCCGTACACCGAGCTTCAGATATATCCATCGACAAATAGCTAAAATGGCAATTTCCCATCATTTTTGTCCGCCATCTCACAAAAGAAGAAAACAGCAACTTACAGATTGCGCAAACAAAGTCCTTTCTTCTATTCCCTTCCGATGGACCCCCCCCCCCCCCCCCCCCCTCCCGATAAATAATATTGGATATGCCAAATAGTAGTTCTTCTTGGCTTAGAAACATTCCCCAAGTTTCATCTCAATAACTCAGTTAGGGAAAATTTTAGAAGGGGTGTGCTAGGGTGGAGCGTTTTTGGGCTTTTCTTTCATTTTGAAAATGGATATAGCACAGTAGTTGCGAAATGGTCTGAAAATAACGCCTGAATTTTCCTGAATTTTTTCGTCAACGATTAGGCCTCCCGCATTGACGTTGACGTCAAAATTATCAGAAAATCCAGGTTTTTTGACGATAACTTGGCAACAATGGCAAATACGACAAAAATGCATAGCATGAAAGTTGTTGGAAATTTAATTTCCAACAAATCACTTTCTCATCGTTTTTTTTTGTAAGTGCAACCGTTTTAGTGTAAAATTCGAAAACCCACATTTTTCCGGAAATTTGGCACAAATTCTCGTTCAGTCCGGGAGAAATACGGGAGAAAGAGAGCTAATTCGGAACAAATTGCGTGATAGACTTTTCCTACAAGAATACCATCATCGGGTTGGCCTGAATAACAAAACATATAAAATGTTTTCCACGGCTCCACTGCGGAACACCCCTTAAAATGCCTAAAATTCAAAAAGGCGGCCGTGTTTAGATTATCCAGCATCAAGGTAATTTAAAATGTGCATCTCGTGTGATATGAGGTGTCGATTCCTATGTTCTTTTAGTCGTAATTTGAAATATACTGTCAAAAAAATTCCCTGGTCAAACGGGGTGCATCAAATCCAGGATGGCGGCCAACTTTGAATTGCGGGAGGGTAACTTTTAAATTTTGATTAGTGTATTACATTTTGAATTGAAAGTAAGGTAACGATCTCTGGATAATATTGATTTAGCAATTTGATTAGTGGTCCAAAATTAATTTGTCATTTATAAGATCTTATCTATGATCCGATGAATGACACCTGGTCAGGAGGCGTAAAACTGACAATCCAGTATGGAATTATTTCCGTAAACCTCGCGCGCGTTCACGAAACCTCGGGCGCGTTCACAAAGAAAGTCGGCGCGTGGTTGCGCCACTGGCGCGAAGCAATTCCATAGCGCGCGACATAGGTATCGCTGCGCGCTGTCAGTGTTTCTCCGCGCGAGGTGTAACTCGACGCGCGAGAGAGCAAACCCGCCGCGCGCCATGTAGGATCGCATGGCTCAAGGTTGTATGTTGCCAAACGTCTTTTTAATTAAAGTTTGAAACCTAACCTAACCTAACCTAACGTAACCTAACCTAACCTTACCTAACCTAACCTACTATTAAGCTAAAATTAAATCTACATTTGGCAGCCGTGTCTTTACCTTGTTAAGGCTCTATAGCAGCGCGCGCGAGAGATTTTCGCCCGCGCGAGGTATTGTCGTGACCTTGGAGATTTCTTCGCGCGCGGTGAGATTACTTCGCGCGCGGGGAGATTTTTTCGCGCGCGCGAAGATTCTTTGCGCGCGCCGACTCTACTGCTCACGCGACGACTCTGCTGCTCACGCGCCGACTTTTTTCGTGAACGCGCGCGAGGTTTACGGAAATAATTCCATAATCCAGGCCAAATCCGCAGGTTACCAGGGTTTAAGATGCCACAATGTTTTTGGTGAATTTAGATAATTTTGGCCGTAAATTTTAAATTTACAGTAGAAAATGCCCCATAATCGTACAGGGTCTCCCGATTATGGGATAAGTATATGACTTCTAAAAAAGGACAGAACAGAAAATTTCAAAGTGTGATAGTAAAAAAATCTTTAAAATAAATCTAACAGTTTTCTTAAATGTTCGCAATTAATATTACTCCTCAATAAGAGCTGAAATTCAGGATGGTGACTATCTCCATATGAAAAACCAATAAAACGACACTACAAATGGACTACATTTTGCAAACTAGAATTATAAATTCTAGCCCGGTTCAGTCCAAATAAATGTACAATTCAAAGAGAAACTGATATAAACAACAGAATTACCTATTACTAAAAGAAAAATAATGAAAAAAATGAAAACATTGATGATTCATACCACCAGATGATGTTCCTCAGTATATTTTTTGAACAATTGTCGTCAACTTTTGATTTTAGAGATTAATTTTTTTTTTTTTTTAGGTATTTAGCCATGATTCTCACGTGACCTGATTTGCTTTATTCCCATTTCGAATAAAAAGAGTCTTGGTTCTTGGGGGGAATAACAGGATTTTAAACGCAGATATTACTTACACGGAAATCGGTACCTTATTTTCGAAGATGTATAATAAAAGCATATTTTAAAATAAGACGCAATGCTAAAAGGAACTATGTTGCACGCAAACACCGTTCAGATAATGCCTTTCAGCATTATACCTACACCTCCGGTAAACACTACTGCCTTTTACAGGCAGTCATCGTGGATTTGAGACGCCCTGTTTGACCATTCATTTTCCACTTAATTTTTTACTTCACATTTTACCAAAATTACACAGGGTATAATACTTCACTTCACTCATTGCGTCATTATTTCTTAGGTAACTTGCCTAAGTCGTCCTACCCTTCAAACTTATCCGTCTTTTTTGAATTTTGGGCAGCCCGATTAACCAGATGGTATTCATCACGTCATACTGGCAATCTACGACCAAAATTACGATGAAACAACCAAAGCATACGAAAAAGGTTTGCGATGTTGCAGAATTCTTGGAATTTTCAAATATTGCAGACGAGATACTTGGTTTGAGAATTTTGCAGTCGATATTCTTTAAGGAACTAAACACCTCACTTAACTTATCACACGAATAAGTGGTACTAGGACAAACTATCAGAGGGGATGTGAGGGAATATGGGACAAACATACCCTCCTGCCGTTCAAAGTTGGCCGCCATCCTGGATTTGATGCACCCCGTTTGACCAGGGGCTTTTTTTGACGGTATATTTCAAATTTACGACTGAAAAAATTTACAAGAACATAGGAATCGACACCTCATACCACACGAGATGCACATTTAAAATTACCTAGATGCTGGATAATCTAAACACGGCCGCCTTTTTGAATTTTAGGCATTTTAAAGGGTGTTCTGCGGTGGAGCCGTGGAAAACATTTTATATGTTTTGTGTTATTCAGGCCAACCCGATGATGGTATTCTTGTAGGAAAAGTCTATCACGCAATATGTTCCGAGTTAGCTCTCTTTCTCCCGTATTTCTCCCGGACTGAACGAGAATTTGTGCCAAATTTCCGGAAAAATGTGGGTTTTCGAATTTTACACTATAACGGTTGCACTTACAGAAAAAACGATGAGAAAGTGATTTTTTGGAAATTTAATTTCCAACAACTTTCATGCTATGCATTTTTGTCGTATTTGCCATTGTTGCTAAGTTATCATCAAAAAACCTGGATTTTCTGATAATTTTGACGTCAACGTCAATGCGGGAGGCCTAATCGTTGACGAAAAAATTCAGGAAAATTCAGGCGTTATTTTCAGACCATTTCGCAACTACTGTGCCATGTCCATTTTCAAAATGAAAAAAAAAGCCCAAAAATGCTCCACCCTAGGGTGTGCGGACTTTTGAGAAACCCTGTTTGTTTCCACCTTTTAAAGATTTTCCCGTTTTTGAGTAGTTATATCTTTCTTGCGTTGCAAGGTATTTCAATCAATTTTTTTGTATTTTGAAGAGCCTCAGCAGGGCTACTATTCTACAAGAAAAAAAAAGAAAAAAATTAGAGACATTGGTGCGTCCCTACATCTTGATATAGGTGACAGACCTGGTCTTGCCAACATTCATGAAGTTGTTAACAGGGAGGCATTTTAGGCATCTATTAGGATGAAGGCCTGTAGTTAGAGCAATAATACGCAATTATCATTGAGACTAAACATGAAATATCGTAATAGATTCGATTAATTATGATGTGTACAAAAATTAGACAGACTAAACATAAAATATCATAAAAGATTTAATTAATCATGATGCGTACAAAAATTTTTAATCACTTACCATCACATATAAAAACAATTGTAAATCCTTCCGTATTTATAAAGAATGTAAAAATTTCACTAAGAACCAAGGCATACTATAGCCTTAAAAATACTTTAACCCTCTTTCGCACGTCCAGATTCAATTTCAACTTTGTATGTCCAGATTCCATTTCTATCTCAATTTTAACTTCGATTTCAATGTTAACTTTATTTTTTAAGTTACTTAAACTGTTTAGTTTACTAAGCAGCTGTATGTTATGTTAGACTTTATCTTGAAATTGTTTACATTTGTTACCTAATTTCAACAATAAATTATCAATCAATCAATTAATCTAATGCAATATTTCAGGTTTAGTCTCATTTGGCTTTGATTGAGGGTTCTCAGAAGAGATTTTTCACCAATGGACTGCTGAAGTATCCATCTACACTGTTCCTTCTCTGTTGTTACAAAGAAAGATAAGTTAGTCGTATTTCAGTAAAATGCATTCGATGTATAGATGTTTGTTTACATCCTTGGAGGAATCACCTTAAATGATGTGCCCAAACAGTACTGCCATCATATGTTGTGGGTGCCAAAATGTTTCTTCTTTTTCTTAAATGGGTACCTAGTTACTTAATGAGTTTTTTCAGATTGGGTCAAAATTTGGTAAAAACATTTTGTTTTGTTTTCTTGGGAGTTATCATATCAAGTGTGTTTAGGACATATCAATTCAAAGTTTCGCAACAGATTGCCTGCCACCAAGGCAGCTAGAACTGGGGAACAGTGTTCCCAGATGAAATGCCGGAGACCCTATGAAAAAAAGCCGGAGTTTTTTACCAAAATGCCGGAGATTCTGAAAAACACCCTTTTTTTAGAATTACCAGTGAAAATAAATGGTTTTGCTGACCGCATCGCCTCTAATCATAAAAACCTATTGATAATGTAATGGATCAAATGTTGGTATCGATCATAGAGATAAAAAAAGGAGGTGTTTGTATTTCGGACATCTTTATTTTCTTTGGTGACGTAGGTCATTACGGACGAATTTTATGATTGATTTTCTTGGAAATGGTGTAATTTATGGAAAAAGTCTGTCCATATAAAGTGTTTGAAATTATTTCAAGAGTTCACTTAAGCAATAAAACAAAATCGGACGTTATGGTCCGTTATTAATATCACGAATTCCGGATTTGGCTGGAATATCGACGCCATGTTGTACCGACCTACGTCACGGGGTAAACAATAATCTGCAAGATGGAAACACCTCCTTTTCTTTCTCTATCAGTGTTGCCAGATGAATTTCCAGCTCCAATTGAAAAATAGCCGGAGTTTCTTTATCAAAATGCCGAAGATTTATAATAGATTGCCGGAGATTCTGAAGAAAAAATTTTGCCGGAAATTTTTCGAAAATGCCAGGGATCTGGGAACACTGCTGGGGAAAGAAAAGAAGAGACGAATGTCACATCTAAAAATTGCACCATGCAACAGATATATACAAGCCAACCAGTGGGCCAACTGATGATTGATGCATCCAGACTGATGTGACTTTTGTCTTTTCTTTTCTTTCCCTAGTTCTATCACAAGTACGGTCCAACTGTACAATTGATGCCATTCACAGGCTAACCAGACAGGCGGCAGCGGCCCACTGCCACCTGAACATTCTCTGCGCTTGCAACTATCAGTAACTACACGTGTGATAGCTAGTTAATGCTGAAAGATTCTCTATCGGCGCATGGAGAGTTTGACTAGAGCTCGCGCATCGTATGTTGAGACAAACGTCAAAGTATTGTTTATGTCACCATTCACCAGTGGTGCCACCTGACTACATGTATTAACCTGTTGAATGCTGCGAATTCACAGCTAATTGGAGATTGACGTTTGTCTCAACATACGATACGCGAGCTGCAGGTGCAGAGGTGAACCTCAATATAACTGGAATATCCCCTCCGATAAGGCCTGAACTTGGAGTGCTTTTTGGGAGCTTGGGAATTGAAATCAAAGAGCATCGGTGGCAGTATCGAGTTTCTTGCATAATTTTAAAAAAGAAGGCGTGCTTAAACCACAAATTCATAACACGTTCTTGTGCAAGAACTTCTCTGCAACATTCAGTGATCTCATTTAGATTGAACTTGGTTCAAATTAATTGATGAAAACATGCCAGTTACTACATACATAAAATTCAACAACTGCACATAAATCCATATTAGGTCGAAAATATTTGCAGTAATGCCTGGAATTTTGTACTTTTGTTTGTTTTGTTTTATTTGTCAGTAGAGTCTATCATTTGTTCAGCTGTTTTGCTCTTTTTTGGTAATTACTTTAGTAACTGGGCAACTTGCCCGTTTTGTATGATAAATAAATAATAATAAATTGAATTCTGAGGACAGACAAGTTTGGAGAGCGACTAACCTGAGTAGTCCACAATGTTTGTTGGGACAAGCTCCGGAGTGATCTCAGCTGGAATGGTAATTTCCTCTGCCTTAGGAGGGACATCTTCCAAAAATTCTTCACTGACTAGAGATAATATTAGAGATGTTTTGCCCACACCTCTACCTCCAAGGATGAGGATTCTGACAGATCGTTTCGGAGATGAATGGATGATCATAGTGGTATCCCGTATCACCTAAAAACTTCCCGCTAGCATGTCATGAGAATTGAGCCTAAAAAATACCTCGTACATTGTTGTGGGATCAGTGGGACAACGTTACACGAACAGGTAAGCTTCGAAAAGAGTCCCTTCAAAGAAAATGGTAAATCAAGGCGTAGTTATGTGCGGGCCTTGGTGGCTTGGTGGCTTCCCTAGTATGGAACGTAACGTCGTTTGGGACTTTATTGAATCATAACCTCTACGCTACTCTGAACGCAGTTCTCTGGGACTAAACTACGTCACTGGGGACTTTACCAATAAAACCCAGTTGGGACATTACTGATCCCGCCTCGAAGTTATTCCTGCGTTGCCAGCTGTAATTTTCTCTATCAGATTATTATTTCCGTTCTACGACCGGCCGGTGGATAAATATAGAGTCCCTTTATACCCAGAGTTAAGACAACTCGATCATCAGCTGACTGGCAGCCGGCCTTGACTGGCCATGGAGGCCGAAACGAGTGCACCCAAACGAACGATATTGAGGGATAAGGATCAGGAATCCTGCGATGTCTGTCACACAAAAACAACAACATCAACAAATTGATCAATTAAAAAGAAAATGAGATTGGTTTGTGAATAATTTCTTAATCTATTTTCATTTTGGACCGATGGAAACAACAATTTACTCTTGATAAACCACAATTAGGTGATATTTTCATTATTCTTGTTCACATTCGAGGTACCGCCATCTTGGTGCACTCGTTTCGGCCTCCATAAGCGAGAACCAATCAGAATTGGATTTTTTTTTAGGCCACTTTCAGCCGAACCAAAAGTGAGTTGTCTTAACTCTGGGTATAAAGGGACTCTAGATAAATAATCGTCATTGGTTTTGGCGGTGATTTAATTGATGATCTTTCAATAATCTCTAAAAGCGGACGCGTATTTTGCTCCGTATAAAATTGAATTTCAGTCACGAAGACTGTGTACATACCCAGCAATTAAATTTTTAAATACTTCCTGGCAGTTTTTGTATTGAGATAAGGCAGGTTTTAGAGTGCCATAAAATGACTCAAAGTTTGAGAGAGCTTTCGTAAAAATCCACACCAAAATTCTTTTAGCAATTTTTCAGGGGATTTTAAAAAGTTTATACTGTTCTTATTCTATGGTAATTTTCATAAGTCGGTGCGAAGGCATCGTTTCTGCAGAAAATCGCATTACTCTGGTAGGTATCAATCGGCTGTTAAAAAAACTTTTAAAAAATAACTCTTAAATTTAAAAATGACGACTCTCAAAAAACCTGTTAAAGTTCTCTTATTAGGAAACCCGTTTTGGCTAATTTTTAAGCAAAATTTACAAGCAGTAAAATTTAGGTAAAGAAAAATGTGATTACTTATATAGAAACTCTTAAAATATCAACGTAGTTTTTCAAAGCTAAAAATGTTTGCAAAATATGTTATAGATTCTACAGTGATATTCAGAGGGTTTTTTTTTAACCCTATTTTTCTCTTAAATTTTATTTAAAAAAATAGCCGAAAACTAATTTTAAGAGTTTTTGAAGAATGTTTTAAAAGCAGGTCATTGCTAGTAGGGTAGTTGTTATTTAGATCACTAAAATACCGTTATATCATTTTTCAACAGCATAATTCTCATTATTACAAACATAAACAAATCAGGAAAAACGCGTTGAGCTAAAATGTATACGAAACAAAATCCGATGAGTGAATTATTAAATATAATCAATAAACTAATTTGCAAAGAATCGGATTCATTTATAATTCCATTATTATGATGTCAACTGGCAACGCGATATTGGGTGACGTAGGCTAAAGTCCCTCCTGACGTAATATTGTCTCACCGCTGTCTTCACATTTACGAGCGAGAGTGCTTAGTAAAGTCCCAAACGACGTTCCATACTCTAGTTCCCTTTGCCCTCTCCCTTGATTGGACCATTTGGACCCAGAGCAAAGACATAAAGACGGAGTGCTCGTATCTAAAAGCACGGGGAAAAAGTGAAGCTAGGTTCGGCGCTGCGCGTTTGTGTGAGTGTGTAAATGAGCGCGGGAATCCATGGCGGCAAACGGAAATTTGATTTGAACTTGTCCTCTTGATTTTTCCTTATTTCTTCTTCGAAACGTGTTTTAAATGCTTAAAACGATTATATTAAGAAAGTTCGGTCTGCGTCCTAATATATTACACCTACTTTTGCTTTGTAACAGGCAGTAATCTCAGATAAAGTTAGTTTTTCTTCTGCTTATGGTGGTTCTGCAGGTTCAAACAGGCCGTTACAGTTCTAGATCTACGTTACTCCCAAATGAAATCAGTCGGTCGACGACGGACCGAAACTAACCTAAAGTTAATAAAATATGAGTGTGTACCTGAATTTGGGCAAAAATCAACCTAAAATACTTTGTTTCCGCAATTTTATTTATTAGTTCCCGCCCTACATTTGAATTCAAACTTGTCCCGATTTCGCCGCCAATCCTCTAGCCAATAGTAGAGGTGATTGAAAAGAAGCTCTAGAAG